TCTATCTCTATCACAAATTGCTTCTATATGTTTTCCTATATTACATAGTAATTTATCTTGCTTATATGTAGGTAAATTGTGTATTTGTACCTTTCAGTTCGTTTATCTACCTATTGATTAGATATATTTTCTTCGTTTGATATCTTACTTGTAGGTATATGTTACCTTTTAATTAGGTTGTATATTTTTGCAACTTAATCTATGATAAAAATATTTTATTTTATTAAAAGGTAAAGAATTGAAACGTTTTTTAAATGTTTAGTAGATTGCAAATGTTTAAATATTCAAAATTTGAAAACAAAGGGTAAAATAGGTTTAAAAAATAGTTAAGTGGACCTAATAAAAAATTTTAAAAAATTGGACTAAAGCCAATAGTATATCAATTTTTTGGACCTATATCTTAATGCCCCTAAAAAGATACATATAAAAGCCAGGAAACCCTAAAAAAGAAGGTAAAATGCTGTTTATTTTTTGTTAGTCACATAAAATTGTAGGTAGGGCCGGGGTTGGTGGCATGAGTGACGCAAGGTCCTTTGCTCTTTCATTTTATGTGCATTGATGGATGTAATTAACTTAAGAGGAAAACTCACAGCTTGAGTGATTAAAAGTGTTTATGATCTGTACTTCAGGGTTTGTATTCGAATTTTTCTTTCATTAATATTGTATGTGTAATAAAAAAACTCTCGTATTAAGGGGTAAAGAACATTATACATAAAGAGAGTAAATACGAGTCTCTATCAAACTTTAACAGCGTAAATACAGTCATTATGAAATTGTGAGAAAGATTAATGAGAGCGGTGAAGTTGTGGACTTGCCGGCAACCATGGGAATTTCTAGCACTTTTAATGTCATTGATTTATATGAGTTTCATCCTGATGATGCTCTTTTATAACATGTTGATCACTTGTGTACGAGTTTTTTTTTAAGAGGGGGTGACTGATGTAGGACTAGAAGAGCAAATAATCGTAGCAAATCCCGACATGAATAGTAATTAATCTCGTATGAATAGTATTTTTAAAATTTTTGTTGTCCGATTTAGGCTGAAAATACTTTTTTTTCGGAAAGGGAATAACGGGATGATTCAAACTTATGGATTTTCCATGATGTATGATGGATTTTGGGCATTCGAGGCTGTTTAAAGGGTCAAAACAATGATTTAATTTATTTTTGGGTTGTTTTGTTATTTTCGGATATTAAGTTATTTACTGTTTATCTCTTTTTTTTTCGTTAGGGCTTTGTGGGGCTATGTAAGCATCCTTAAGGTTGTATTTTGTATGGTTATTCAGTTGAAAATCAAAGTTTCTCTCAAATGTCTAAAGTTCCAGAATTCTCATCTTTCTTTTTTATTTTATTTAAGGACAGTCAAAAGTTTTGGTTGCACCCAAAGTACATAAAAAAACATGCGAGATTATATACTTGTCAACTCAAAAAATAGTGAGAAATGTTAGGTAAATAAGGTTATCGTAAAGACAAAATACAGAGGTAAGGTTTTTGAGGTGAAATGTGGGGTAACTAAGGTTGTCAAAAAAAGTACTCTCAAACACATTTTAATCACTTTCATCAAGCTTTTCATGTAATCAATAATTCTAACCTAATCTCCATTTTATTTTGTCCTTTAATTACAAACTTGACCTTGTTGATTGTAACGGTTGCCCAAAAATTATTAGGAAAACTAATGAAAATGGCTTGAAAACTTTGAGTTTTAACGATAATGACAAAATAAAGGGTAAAGTGAATAGTACCAGGATTGACTTTTTAATGTAAAAATGTGGTTTTTCGTTAAAGTGAACAGTACCGGGAGTTTTTCGTTAAAGTTCTCAAAAATATTTAGCATACACATTTTGAATGTCCTACTTACTGTACATAAACCCCAATGCATAAGTCCCTTTTATTTGTTGGGAGCCTTCTTATTTAATGGTAAAAAGTGCTAATTAAGGAGATCAAATATTTTGCATTTATTTTATATGTTGTCTCTATCATTGATTGACACATATTAATAACTTAATCCTCGTTAGCTTTATTATTATAAACTTAAATGTGTCAATCAATGACAAATAACACAGAAAGGCAACACAAAAAATAAATACATATTTTTAATCAAGTTGGTATATTACGTAAGAAGATTGAATTGGGGTAAATGTAACATGGGTCTTAGTATTTAGGCAGCACGGGCTGTCACAATACTATATTTTTCTTTTTAGGTAAAGAAGCAATGGACCTTCTGAAGTCAAGCAATTAATTAATCCACATACATAAGTTAGTACTTCACAACATATATATATATATATATATAATCCTCCATTTTTTGGAGTATTTATAATTTTATTTAAATATTGCCATCTGACTAGTGGCAATTAAATAGTAATTAGCACCAAAAATCTGGCCCATGCCGACAAATCAGAATTAAGGGTTTTAATTAGAAGATTCTCACGAAAATATAACTTAATTAGCCGACCATTTCCATCAGGTAATTTCAATCATAAGCTAAATAAAATAAGTGCTTATGAAAAAACAATATTAGTAAGGACAATTAATTGATTAATTTGCAGAGGACAGTTCAAGGTTAGCTAACTGATTAACAGTTGAGATTGTTTGGGGCCGTCCTTTTCTAGGGATCGGGAGAAGGACAGCCAACCTACAGAATGTATATGGTCGGTGTTATTCTTAATTTAATTAGTTAATTAATTATATGGATAATTAAGTTTTTGCACGAGGAAAATATTTGATTATCTTGGAATCTTCACAAAGTTTAACTCAATCACAATACGCTAACTGGCAAGTGAGTGCTGTTTAAGCTAACAGCCTAATACTGGCAGTGTTAGGGAGAGAAAGTAAATATATTGCCATAGGGGCTTCTAGCAAAGAAATAAAACAATAGTGTACAAATAAATTAACATCAGTCACACTAGCTAGTTGACAACTTGGGATGAAGAAATAAAAGAAAAGGCTTATGTTTCTACTACCTATAAATCAAAGGGATAAAAAAATAAGAAATAAGAAGGGTGAGTTGGTTTTGGTAGCTGTTATTTACACTAATATTGTCATTAATTATACGTTTTAAAATAACAGTATGTTTTTGTTCTATTTCTATTTCTGTGGCTCGAACTCGCACCAGGGTACATAAGAATGATTATTTGCCGCCACTTCATACAATATTATATGCTTCTCCAATGTGGTTAACTATATTCATTTAAAATGTGGGTATATAAATTAATGATATATGAGTCGTTGATGCAACTGATATTGTCCAAGAGTACTCCAAGACCCAAGTAGACATGTCAAAAAACCAAGCTACCTCGTTGATATAAGAGATATACGTCATTTATTATATATATATATATATATATATATATGTACGTATCAAAATCCCCGAATGCCCCGGCCCTATGATAGATCATATGACCTAAATATACGTGTCAAAATCCCCGGACTCCATTGGATATTGCTGGATCGGACTTTGTTGGCAGCATATATTAGCTCGGATTTGCAAGTGGAGAATCTCATCACACAAATTCTTAATCATATGTGAAAATCTCACATGGATTCTTGATTAATTTGTAATCCTCCAGAAAACCCATCTGCTTTTGCTTCGCTGCCATTCCAAAAATATTGAATTTCGCAAAAGAAATTATACATGGCTAGCTCGTCAAGAGTCAACACGTACAATATTTTAAGGTTACGACGGTGGTGAGAGATCTGCAGGTGATCAGTTCCGTTTGGCTTTCGAAAATGTACTGAAGTCAGCAAAAGATGGCACCAAGCTGTTCAAACTGTATCTCTCTCTTCCGTTGCACATGCATGATGAAAATTTGTACTAATACTTCGCCTTTGAGGAAATAAAACTCATTGCATGTCACAAAACCAAGCTACCTCGCTAGGGACTTCGACAAATGGTTTCCAATAGGAAACGCCACGATTAGAAGAAAAACTTTGTGACACTGTTTCATACATATTCTAAATCTCTCTCCTCACACATATTTCGTGAGGAGAAAGCTAAAACAAAAAGACATACAATAAGAGACTAAATGCGTTTTCTAACCGCCAAAATTGCTTTAATTATGTTGGCTAGAAAATTATAAATGTGTCTAGTTCATAAAAGTACCCTTTGAAGAAACATCTGCTAAATAATTTTTTTTTATTTTTTATTTTTTTATTTTTATAAAATGAGAATGCTAGAGATCCCACATTAATGTCCTATATAATGTGACAAATAACGCATACAATCACATCTAATAAGATTATTTTTTAATTAAGATAACATGTACATGTCACTTGTCGCATTAAATACTAGATAATATTGCATCACCTGTATAGGGATGCACATATCCTCCATTTGTGAATAACATATCTTGATCGACTAAATGAACCATCGGAACCGTACATCAATTTAGTAAGCTTCATTTGAAGATCACTCCTACAACAAACGTACAAATAAATAGGCGTGGTACCTATACAGTCGATTTATTTTATACATTTGAATGACTAAGTGATTTTTGATTGAATTGATTTTTCGTAGAGGTGATCTTCAAATGAAGGTTAAGAAATTGACAGTTCCAATCGTTAATTTTATTCGATTAAGATACGTTATTCGCAAATAAGAACATGTGCATCCCTAAATGGTGCAAATGTTATACTTAAATATTACACCAATATGTTACAAAAACATAATCCCTCCAATATTTTCCTTGGAAAATATATCTACCTGTAACCCCAAACTAAACTGCCCATAATCAATGTATCATCAAATACACATTCATGAAACACAAACATTAAAAAATTAAAGGGTAATGCTAGAATTAAAAAGTCCATGATAGCCAAATCAGCAAATAATCACAAAGGGGAACAACAGTTAACCACAGATCCTACCTCAGCACATGCAAGAACTGAACCAAAATCCCCAACCCCTCCAAGGCGCCAACCCATCCCTATAAATACCACTCCCAACTCCCACACTTTTCCTCACTACTCACACTTTCAGTATTACCTACAGACTTGGCGAAGATCCACCGAAGAATAAGAAGCAGCAACAATTTTTGAATTTTTGATCCCTCAAATACTTCAAAAAATGTCTTCTTCAGATTCGCCAACGTCTCTAATCATTTCCAAATCCACCGTCTTCCCCGACCTGCCCTCCGCCCTCGCTGACCTCCCCCTCTCAGTCTCCGACCTCCCCATGCTCTCCTGCCACTACATTCAGAAGGGTCTCTTCTTCCCCCTCCCTCCCTCCCCCATCATCCCCCTCCTCAAATCCTCCCTTTCCCAAACCCTCTCCCGCTTTCCCCCATTGGCCGGCAGACTAACCACCTACCCCACTGGCCACGTGCACATCACCTGCAACGACGCTGGCGCCGACTTCATCCACGCGTCCGCCCCCGGTCTCTCAATCCGAGATGTTTTGGACCCTACTGACGTGCCCGACTGCGTCAAGGAGTTTTTTGCCTTCGACAGGACCGTCAGCTACTCCGGCCACCACAACGCAATCCTGGCTGTCCAGGTCACCGAGCTCAGCGACGCCGTTTTCATCGGATGCTCCGCCAACCACGCCGTCATCGACGGCACCTCCTTCTGGAACTTCTTCAACACCTTCGCCGAGCTCTGCCGAGCATCGCCATCGTCACTATCACCAAACGAAAATTATAATTACACGAAAATGACAATCACAAGGCAGCCGGACTTCAGCCGGAACTCGGTTCTGATCTCTCCGGCAGTGCTTCGAGTTCCGGCGGGAGGTCCCAAAGTCACATTCAACGTCGACGAGCCGGTGCGCGAGCGAATTTTCAGCTTCAGCAGAGAAGCCATGCAGAAGCTCAAGGCACGAACCAATAACAAAAAATGGTCCGAAAACGGCGACGTTTTGCTGAGCGCCGTCGAGATTCTCGGGAAGCAGAGTAACGATCCCTACCAAAACAAAGACAATGGCGCCAAAGTGACGTCGATTATCGAAAACTGGTCCAAAAATTCGAACGCGAACTCCAAAACGACGGCGGAGATCTCGTCGTTTCAGTCCCTGTGCGCGCTGCTCTGGCGATCCGTGACGCGTGCGAGGAATCTTCCGTCCTCGAAAACGACGACGTTCAGAATGGCGGTGAACTGCCGGCACAGACTTGAGCCGAAGCTGGACGCATTCTACTTCGGGAACGCGATTCAGAGCATCCCGACGTACGCGACTGCCGGGGAGTTGCTGTCGCACGACACGAGGTGGTGCGCGGAGCAGCTGAACAAGAACGTGAAGGCGTACGACAACGACAGGGTTCGGGGCGTCGTTGAGGATTGGGAGAGGGACCCGCGAGTGTTCCCGCTGGGGAACTTTGACGGGGCAATGATGACGGTGGGGAGCTCGCCGAGGTTTCCGATGTACGACAACGACTTCGGATGGGGGAGGCCGATGGCGATTCGGAGCGGGCGGGCGAATAAGTTCGATGGGAAGATATCAGCGTTTCCGGGGAGGGAAGGAGGCGGGAGCGTTGATCTCGAGGTAGTTTTGGCGCCTGACGCAATGGCTGGTCTCGAAACGGACTCTGAGTTCATGCACTACGTGTCCTGTTGAGCCTGTAAAACGACGTCATATTATGTTAAAAAGTAATAACTTAAAGGGAAGAGAAAAAGATAGGATGTGGAATTGTGGAAGATGGGTTGAAGGGTTCGGTGCGGTTGATCCAACCTTGATCTGCACTGTTATGTGACCGTTGTTGGATTTATCCAATATAAATCAACCTTTAAGTGGTCTACTACATGTAATAAGGTAATATTAGAAAATAATGTTTATTGTGATTTGATCTCTTAAATATATCAATCCTATATAAGGTGTCTTATATTAGAAATATGATCGATGGTGTCTTATATTGGAAATAGGATTGATGGAATCCTTAATTGAATATGATTCTGATACTTGACTTGGAGGCTAAGAAAGTAAGTTTAGGTTTTCTTTATGGATGAAAACCCTAGCTTTTAACTTATATAAACACCGTCCCTATAAGCCCTAGAACACACAACATAATGCTTCACATAGAGTAGTTGTATTCAGCTAGGTGTTTGTAGAAGATCCTGGTGTTGCCATGCCCTTCACCTTCCTTGTTCGAGTACCATGATCACAACTGAAATCAGGTTTGTCACTCCTTTGTTTGTGTTTTAATTATATAAACTTATAAGGCTAACAGTTGGTATCAAAGCAACTGGTTATATGATTAAGACCTATTAAGTTCGAAGTTTGATTGTATAAAATTTTCATGAACTGCGGTTTTGATCTTACATCCAAATTGTGATTGCACTTGGCAACACCACCCCGCTGAACCTCCATGCACGAAATCTGCATAACGTTTCCTGCATATAATTGCATGTACACAGCAACACCACCGTGTTGGATTAATCAGTGGAATTTGAGGATTATTAATAGGTTGTATAATTATTCAATTTTAATCAAGAATATTTTTCAATAATCTTATGGTTGCAGTCAAGAGAAATTGATTAAGAACTATGCTAATTGATACCCTAATTATTACGGCAAAACAAACTGCCTAATTATAGCACGAATCCTCAATATTGTATGCAGTGTATTGCATACAACCACATAGCTTTTGCTTGCCAATTGGAAATTGGACTACGCTTATTAAATTATGGAACTGAAGCATAGAATTTATATATAATATTCTTATGGAATTGAAGCATGAAATTTAAAATAGGAATTGGAATCCTATGATCATATAGGAACGTAAAGAAGCGTATATGTAAGGCGTGGTATTATATTAAGTATTTTACAGTGGGAACTCTATCATTCTTTTAACTAGTAGCAAGTCGTTAAGTTTCTTTTGCTCCAAATGTTAAAAGTTTTAGATGGGAGTGTTCTATGATGAATAGCTCAAATCCATAGAAATTAGTGTGTTTGGAAAAAGTTGAATTTTTACTGGGTAAGGTAAATATCTCGGACAACGTATTGGAGGTCCTTTGCAACCTACTTAGGGTCAGAGTTCTAACTCTGAACAAAGCAGCAACCAAGTATAACAGGAAATAATCGTTTGTGTTGGAAAATTGCATATGCAGGTAATTTCTAAGACCAATTATATACAAGGTTTACATGTATAAATTTTATCATGACACTTGTATCTTACTAAACAGGCATGCCAAGAAGTATATATAAATGTGCAAATATATCTTGTTTGTTTGTGCCTAATTTGTTAGTAGTGAGCCTATTTGATGGCCTCATCCCCATCAGCTCTAGCCACAACTTCAGCAGGGCTCTTTACTGTCACATGCGAGAACACCTGTGTGAGGTGCATTCATGGTGAACATGCGACAAGGGGACACTAACCACCCCTCAAATGCCTCACGGACAGGTTTTTGGAAATACTTCTTAAACCCCAAATCTTTATTGCCTCTGATTTCCATTTGAATGGGCAAAATAAATTCATATGGGTCATTTTTAAATCAGTTGTATTACATGATAATGTGTAGAAAATATACATAGGGTGAATTAAATCGCTTGGTTGCCGTGGGAAATAATCAATATAGATTAAAATTTTAAGTTTGCAAACATGTAGCAAAATGGACATGTGGCGTGTTTTATTAAGGGGACTGGGTTGTCCTATATTGCTTTAAGCTTGAGATGATCTTATGTAATGGCACAAATGTGTAGATTAGTAATGCAATATACTAGTACTTAAGTATGATTGGGGATTAATTCAAGTAAGGTTTATAATGATATTAACTCCATGAGGAATTTGCATGACTAATCATTTAGTTTTGTTTATAATTTTGTCTATATCTGTCTCAGTAGTCATTTAATTATACATGACTAATTAACTATGAAAAATTGATGCATAATTTGTGGATTGACTGAGAATGACAAAAAGCATCCAGTGACAAGGACAAGAATATTATACAAATGAATGAGGTTTGCAGTAATATTTGACAATTCTAACTTGTACTTTTATCTATTCTTATATGAGAATTATGGTTGGTCATGTGATTATATATATGTTTACAAAGAAGTAGTGAACATATGAAGGCATGAGGTATGTAATCCATTCAAAGTATGTGACTTAATTGATAATCATGAATTTTCAGACATGTATTATTGTTTGTGGTTTTTTCTATGCCTAAAGAATTTAAATAGTGCTTTGATTGGTAAATTTTTATGTGTCATAAGGGGAGAAGAAAAGAAAATTTTCAAGGCTAATGTAGGGCATATATTGGAGATGTTTTCTATGGAAGAAAATAATTTTGGTTGTTCCTTTATTTAATTTGGTATTTACAAAGCTAATGCATGATTTTAATGTTGCGTTCAGTAGTCTAGTACTACATAAAGAAATATATAAAAGGAAAGGAACCCGTTTGACTTAAGAAAACATTTGAGCGATTTAGCTTTATAAATTAAAGGAATGTATTGTTCTTTCCCATTACATAAAGTATTTCTATTTTAAGTAATTGACTCCATAATGATAAGTATTGACATTCTTGCGGTGGAATAAAACTTGTTCTATATGTGATTAATCTCTTTCAAGTATGTTGTTAGGTTTTTTGAGATTAATTTAATGTCAAAGGAAGTCACGAAGGAATTAGTGACATTTGTTGGCAAGACTCGAAGCTCGAATCAGGTTATCATAATTTTGTCACTTACAGGTAATTAATCCATGTGACTTCTTGTATTGTTTCAGGACGGAGTTGATCAATGCCTTTTCAACTAAGCAATCCACAATGGCTTAGTTGACAATGGGACTGTGTTTTTTGAGTTACTTCGGTCAACATTGCATCTTAATTAGAATAAAGGGGATAATCTTTAGGTGTGGATTATTTCTTTTAGTTTAATTAAGATGGCATAGTGTGGATTTTATTTCACAGAAGTTGTGAAAGTTTCATTTGTCCACAGGAGTTGAAGTTTTTCATGAAGGTACTCTTGTGACATAATCTAGTACTAGAAACTAGTTAATTTTCTTGCCCGCATGTGTAAATTAATCTAGTTTCATGAAGTTTATTGGGGAATAAAGTTCCATGTCTTCAATTACAAATATTTCCACTATGAGCCCCATTATAGGTTGTGGCCTTAAGGCATGGAAATCGGTTGCATCATGACGTATTTTTGTGTCTCTTCATGAGACTTGTTGATGCGAAGTACTTGTTGAACCCATGAAGATTAATCAAGGATTGCTAAGGTACACATTGTTTAAGTATAATGCTTGTAAATATTTTCAATTTGAACTGTGATGTCTGTTTAGAGGATGAAATTTGATCACTTGAGATTCCTTTCACATCGAAATTGAAATAACATGAAATTGAATTTGTGAGAGATATTTAGATTCATGATAGATGAACATAATTTTTCTGGCAGATTGCATGTCTTGATTAAAATCGAATGAATGACACGTCTAACGGTTACCAAATGACCTGAATTTTTTTATGTTAAACATATATATGTCTACAATGTGTGTGCAAATTTTCGTAATTTTTTTCTGTGTATTTTAATTATGGTGAATTTACTAGTAACCCATGCTCATATAGACAGTTTTACTGGCAGATTGCGTTGGGTTTTTGAGTTGTCACTTTAGACTACTATTTTGACCCAAAACGCCTCTATATTTTTATTTTATGAAGATTAGTATGTATATTTTGATCTGTATAATTTGGTTGCAATCAAGCTTGTAAATTTATTATGATTAATTCTAAAGTAAATGTAACTCGTTGCTGAAATTCTGTTTGACAACTTTATGTTGGTTGTAATGTCTATTTTATTATGTCTAAAATATAAAGCAATTTTATTTAGTTACATCTTTGAAAGAGTGTTTGCCCAAGTGGGAGAATTAGTGAACAAAAATTGGGCTTCACACTCATTAACTTATTTGTAAGTCTAAACTCTAAAAACTTAGTGGGAGTTGTTCTAAAATTTTGAGCATTAAGTGGACTTGCATGATACTAATATAGCGTTATTCTATCTTCCATGAATTTGCGTTTTGTTTGATAACTCGAATGACAATAATATGTTTAAGTTGCATGAATGGATACTTCATGTAACATCCCACATCGACCAACAGAGAGAGGGTGATGTGCCTTATAAGTACATGCCCACCTCCTATAACACGAGGCCTTTTAGGAACTCACTGGCTTCAGGTTCTATCGAAACTCCAAAGTTAAGCGAGTTCGGGTGAAAGCAATCCCAGGATGGGTGACCCACTAGGAAGTTCTCGTGTGAGTTCCTAGAAACAAAATTGTGAGGGCGTAGCCGGGGCTCCAAGCAGACAATATTGTGCTACGACGGAGCCGGTCTGGAATGTGACAGAATAGTATCAGAGCCACTCTGCCGTGTGGTGCGAGTGTGTCGACAAGGATGTCAAGCCCCTAAGGTGGGTGGATCGTAACATCCCACATTGACCAACGGAGAGGGGGTGATGTGCCTTATATGTACATGCCCACCTCCTACAGCATGAGGCCTTTTGGGAACTCACTGGCTTCAGGTCCCATTGGAACTCCGAAGTTAAGCGAGTTTGGACGAGAGCATTCTCAGGATGGGTGACCCATTAGGAAGTTCTCGTGTGAGTTCCCAAAAACAAAATCGTGAGGGCATGGCCGAGGGTGACATGCCCCGATCCCAATATTCCCGGAAATTTCAGGATAAGCACGTGCTGGCCGACACCCGAAGGTGATGAAAGCCATTTATTAAATGTAAATGCTGAGAACAAGGAATAAATAAGACTTACAAATAGAAAATATAATAAATATGCATTTTAGGAACGTGTTCAGAGCATACAACTAACTATAACACTAAAAGAAATAATATAAAATTGAATGAAACAAACGATGGATTCTACATCGAGAGGACTCGAATATGCCAATACGGAAGTGTCTTGACACCGGGATTGTACGCCTCGATTCTAAGTCCTGAAGGGGGCGCAAAACAAATATGAGTGGACCAATTTGATATATATATATATATATATATATATAAAACAGCTATCAACGTACTAACCCCTAGGTTTTATGAAAACACATATATATCATGTTAAACATAGGTTTTCCGAAACCTAACATGTCGTGCAATGTCTCAAATCATAACTTGTTATATAATAATCACTAGTGAATGTCCAATAACCCCCAGGCCCCATGCCGGCTCCTCATCTCTGATCAGACAGTCAGAGGAAAATACATTACATGCCCCATACTGGCTCCCCGTCCCTGTGCTAATAGCCAGAGGAAACACACTCCAGACCTTATGCCAACACCAAACCATCGCCCGGGACAGACTGGAATTTATCCCTACGTCCCGTAGCGGAATAAGGACTACTAGGTAAGTACAAAACCATTGAACATACATATATTGAAAAGCAACTTCATAGTATAAAGTCATTCATCATCTATACTATAAAGAGGTGTTCTAAACATGTTCTAAATATCATATCGTCATCCATCAGATATTCTATAAGAACAAGGGTTATAGGAAAAATAATAATAATTCAAAATAGCCTTAGTAAGCATGTTATCTCATAAAACATAGTCATCAAATCATGTTTTCCATGTATGCATTTCTACTATCAAAACATGCATTTTTTTAAGGGGTCCACTGATAGTACTTCGCTGCTGAAGAGCCACGCAACTAGTGAAAACTGAAACGCCACAAATAATTGCCCCTAAGCACATAAATGGTACATTTAGTCAAACTCTACTAAAACAACTTATTTTGGGAAAACAGACATCAGAAACGGGTTCAGGACGTCGAAATTAGCCTAAGAGGGGTTCCGCACAAAAACCCAAAAGTCAACGTTGATCGTTGACCAGTCAAAGTCAATGCTGATCGTTGACCTAGTCAACGCTGACCGTTGACCTAGTTAACGCTGATCGTTGACCTAGTCAACGGTTAGACCGGGTCAAAGTCAACTAGTCAAACCATGTCAACTGGGTTTGGGCTTAGGGTTGGATCGGGGTTGGGCCCTAAGAGTTTAGGGTTAATGGGTTTAAAGGGAAATGTGTTTAGGGCTTGGGCTTAGGGCCCCCAACAACACATGGCCCAAAGGCCCTTAGAACTGAAATGGAAAAATGGGTTGGATTCAGGGCTTTCACAGATGATGCCCAAGGCCTTTAAAACAAATAATAAAAATATACTAAAAACAAAATAAAAATAAAATGAGGTTGGGTTGGGCTTGGCAGGAATAGCCAGAAGGCCTTAGACTTAAAAGGATTTGGGTTTGGGGTAATTTGGCTAGGTCTCAGCCCTAATGGGTTTGGGTTTCAAGGCAGACGAGTTGGATTAACTCATTTTCAAGCTAAGCTCTTGGCCGGTTTCTGGGTTGATTTTCCAAGGCTTATAACTTCTTCAATACTCAACGAAATTGGGTGATTCCAAAAGGAAAGTTGTAGTACTCAGCGGGATGAAGATATTAATACCTTGCACACTGGCCAACTCGATGTTGTTTGGCCGAAAATTGCCTTGAAAGGGGCGGTGCTTGCCGGAAAATTTAGTGAAGCTACTCCGAGTTATTTTCTGCGATTTTCACATATACACCACTTAAAACAACCTTCGATCTAATCCTAAAACACAACCCAAGAGTTTCTAGAAGCTTACCAACGTTGGATAAACACGAAACATGTCGGATAAGATGATGAACAGTGACACCGTCACTGTTGGGGTTCTATGAAGGTTTGCTTGAGTTTTCCCGATGTTCCTACATCCAGTGGTGTTGGTTTGGGGTTGTTGCTTATGTGAGTGACAAGCTTGAGAAAAAGGGATAGATCACAAAGGGAAAGAGAGGTCCGAAAGTCACATGAGAGAAAGAAAGAGAGAAGAAGAAGGGGGAGAGAAAGATGAGGTTACGGGAAGAGAAGAGAAGAAAGATAGAGAGTTATAGAAATCAGAAAAAGGGAAAGGAACCAGGGGACAAGTCAAGGGTGGGCCTCCTTAGGCACACCATTTAAGACCCAAAAACCAATTTTAAAAGGAAAATATCCCCAAACTTAGTGAAAATACAAAAATACCATTTTTGTTCGGTAAATCCCGAGACGAGTTGTTACACGGGGCACAAAGCAGACAATATCGTGCTACGGCGAAGTCGAGACTGGGATGTGTCACTTCATATATGTGTACATTTTTGCAATCTTCTAAATTTCTCGACTGATTATTTGTTAATCTTATAAAGAATTTTAGGGCTCATAAGGACTTAGCATAAATGTGGAATTATTAATACATATAAGATGGTTGTTGGAAGCATGTTTTTGTGTAACAGTGGTGAATGTTTTCGTGCTTAGTTGTTTGAGGTAATATGCATTCATTGACTGAGTAAGGCTATACCCAAAGGCATATTTTCAAAAAATATGATTTAAGTATTGATTTGCAAATTAAGCAACGATGTTGCAGATCAGTGGGAACTTGAGGTTTGTGTTGGTAATGCCTTACATTTGCAGATGACCTATAAGGTATGTATAGAATCCATGTATTCATTTTAATCTCCAATTGGATTCATTAAGTCACATTTTTCGTGTGCTAGTCAATTATTGGATGAAATATATTTCGAATATCAAGTTGTTATCAAATTGCATATTAAATGGCATGGCATGGCATGGTTTGTGCACTGCCTTAGTTGTGAGGATTTCCATCTGCCCACAGGTGTTGGAAATCACCATGAAAGTAACTAGTATGGTGCATAGATCAATGTCAAAAACATGTTAATTCATCTTGCTCACAAGTGTTGAATTAATTTGTTTTAGGAAGTTTTGGGATATTTTACTTGGACATGTGCCTATTTGGTATTTTCAGTTGTGTCTGTTGGCTACGAACATTGTTTGTCTTGTTATTGGTCTAATGAAAGTGATGCATGATTGTTTTGGAGATGTATTCACACCTGCAGGTTATGTTGGTTTCATTAGATGAAGGATAACTACGTTGACAGATTTAAGGCTTTGAAGAAACATAAGCTAGACCTGAGATGATATAAAGTAAGACATTTTGGTTTTTGGTTTTTGGTTTAAAAGTTTCATCTCTTGATCATAATTTGTGTTTCATGTGAATGAGGATCTTAGCATGTGTGATTATGAAGGTTCTGGGTTGTGTCAACCTTACAACCTTGTTAGTTTCGTGTTAAGAAATGCATTTGACAAAAACTGCGTTAAGGATGAGATGTAATCACTGTTACATGGCCACTAAAGCGACATTAATCTCCAATCTCAAGTATAAACGTGAATATATCATTTTGTACACCAAGTGGGAGAATGTTGGATTTATCCAATATAAATCAACTTTTAAGTGGTCTACTACATGTAATATAAATGTAATATTGGAGAATAATGTTGATTGTGATATCTCTTAAAGATATCAATCCTATATAAGATGTCTTATATTGGAAATAGGATTGATGGAATCCTTAATTGAATATGATTATGATACTTGACTTGGAGGCTAAGAAAGTAAGTTTAGGTTTCCTTTATAGATGGAAACCTGAACTTTTAGTTTATATAAACATCGGTCCCTATAAGCCCTAGAACACACAACATAATGCTTCCTATAGAGTAGTTGTATTCAGCTAAGTGTTTGTAGAAGATCCTGGGGTTGTCATGCCCTTCACCTTCCCTGCTCGAGTACCATGATTATAACTAGAATTAGGTTTCTCACTTCTTTATTTGTGTTTTAATTGTATAACCTTATAAGGCTAACAACAGTTGGATATGTGTGGGCCTTCCTGATGTTGTAATGTGGACATGGTTTGGACGTCGACAATTAATCTGGTATGTACGGACAAAGGGAGGATGTCTTCTTTCTATTTGTGAATTTTACTTTTGTTTCAAAATCTCAGTAATCGCTTACGCTATTTTAGATGAGTATCAATTTTCTTGACAATTGTAACTCTTTTTTGTTTTTCTTTTCTCAACAATATATATATATATATATATATATATATATATCATAAACTACTATAATTTACGAGTTAGGGTATTTGTTCACGGATAAGCATACATTGTTGATCAATTGACGTAACTCATATTTGCACTCTTGTTCTTTTTCCGTATGACATCAACATCGCGTCAGGGGCAATAAGTTGCAAATATCTGAAATGAGTTAGGATTAGGCTAAGCCGAAACTAAGCCCAACACATTCCATAAAATTAGGCCCAATTGATAGTTCCATAAAGGCAAGTTGTCAAAGCTTGGAAGTAGTTTTGTGACCAATTTTTGGGCCGCATTCATCTTAGACTCTTCACATGGTCCATGAACAGCTATACGACGTCGCACCAATCTCAATGCTTTAAATTCTAATATCCTAAATTCTCAGGCTTTACCATCTCCATCTCAACTTCTCAACTCCCGGAGACTGGAGTTGGACCTCAGCAGCAACTCCATCTCAGCTGAATCAAACGCCTTCCCTATCGCCCTGTGCCCCAACCCCGACCGTCTGGAACCTCAGACGATGAGCAGAATACATGTTATGGATGGGGTGGTCATGGATGCTGAGTTCCAGCAAGAGGTTCAGATTGGTGAACAAGACTGAGTGCAAATGCTGTACCCTCCACAATTACTGAGAGAAACATAATAATTCAAACACCATCCATGCATTAGCAAATAGCAAATCACGAAACAATCAAGAATCGAAGTAATTTCAATTTCAAATAAATAAACGTGACGCGCTAGTAATGTTGTTAAAGAAGATCCTTAAATTGGAACAGATTCTATATTTTTCGGATCCCACTGCATACCACAATGCATGTCATATATTTGAAAGGAAGTGAAAGCACTGTCTGGGACATGGGATAAGATTAGGGGTGATCACTAAATCAGGGCATCCCTCCAAATCTAACTTCAGATTCTGCGAGGATATGGAATGAAAAGAAAGTACGCATTAGTTATCTTCATCGATAGATGACGTCCCTCAATCGTCCAAGCTGTATTTAAATACTCTTAGCTTCCAGCTGCAGCTGTTACGGCAACTTGTTTCGAGTCTTCTGCCCTTTCATGCTCCTTATTGTGCATCTGAAATATTCCAACATTTTTACATTCCAATACAATATGAGAAGTTTGCTGAGAAAATTAAGGAAGACCAATACACATTCATGGAAATGCATCTCACCTTGTTGTTGATCAAGTTGTGAAGAGCAATAACGCTTCGGATGAGGGAAGAAAGATATATGACCAACATCATATCATTTGTTTTCACTGCACATGACAACAACAACATGAATCAACACTATTAACAAAATAGGCACTAACGCAGGAACCATAAATCTAAACAATAAAGCAGTCTAAACGATAAACATGGTAGGTTTTTTTTTTTTTTACCTGAAAAAGCCTTGATGAGATCAGAAACATTAAGATTTGGAAGTAGATTGAACACATCCTACAAGGATTTGGGATAGAAAAATAAGAAAAATGTACGAGTGTGAGGGTGAAAATATCAACAGTAGGCAAAAGAATTACAATATTTCATTGTTGTGAAATAAAAGTTAAGAGACAAATCAAACTAGCACTACATTAAGATTCTAGCCTACACTACATGTAGGTTAAGCCAAAACCGAACCTGTAGGTGGTACAAAATCTCATGGTTTAATGGGAGCTTGCCATCAATAACAAGGTCCAGATAACCCCGAATCTCCTTAAGTCTTGCTTCCAATCCCTTCAAGGCTGTGAGTTTCCCTGTAACCTGTACAAGACTTGGAAACTAAGTTTCTTGTATCGCCTCTTATATGCATTAAGAAAATCTAATAAAATTGACTTCATACATACATACATACATACATACATACATACATACATACATACTGTGTGAGCGTAAATAAAACGAGGAAGCTAATGAAAATAAAATCACCAAAACCAAACCTCTGTTGCAAGAGTGCTGATGGTTGTATCTTTCACATCTCTAAGCAAGTGTTCCACTCCTGTTAAGGGGTAATATGGTCAATAAAAACCATAAGTAGAAACAAAATGACCACCAACGCACAAAGGAAAGGAATAAATCAATATGTGCATGCAATAACTTAGAAGTCCTACTTATTCAATGTTACAAGAAAGGGTAGTTCAGTTTCCATGGGCTTACCAATTTCCTCAACTTCATGGGCAGAAATTTCAGAAGGCACATGAACGAAAACCTTCTGGCTTTTCTGGGTAGCATTCTGTAATCGTATCAAAATGTTAATTCAAATTTATAGCATTAAAACCAGGTTTCAAGTCAAAATAGCTCCAACCATAACACTTGTTTTGGAAGAACTTAGTATATGACCAGACCAATACAAAAGGCAAGGCATATCCGAAAAAATTATGATTCTACCTCTTTAACCTCTTCAACGGCACAGTAAGCTTTTGTTGGTATTCCCAGCTCCTTAGGTTGGACATCAATTATGACCAAGACAGGATTTGGAGCATAACTGCAAAATCAAAAGGGAAATTGTGATATAATGGAGAAGAAAAGAAACAGGAATTCATACGTCTCAAGGATAATGAATAGAAACACGAATTCATGTATCTGCTGATGGGTGCAAAATGCTTAAGCATGTTTCACCGTAATAGAGACAAAACAATTAAAAAAAAAAAAACAAAATATTTCCATCATTTCATAAGAATACCACTTACAGGTATACGGCTTCCTCATAACCAACCATCAATATTTTATAGAAAACCGATGGAGAACCTCAAGGTTTCCAAAATCTCAGACATCTTGATTAAATTTACCAATATTCAAGTTACACAAAAAAAATGGTATCACAGTATAACAAAATGAAGACAAGAGTTAAGAAATAAGGGTTGAAGAACACATTTGCTTCTTCTAGTCAGTTGAGAATTAGTTTCTCTAATATCAATTTGAACGATATGAACCTTACACCTTTAATTATCTCCATGTTGTCCTTCCACTTAAACTTTGTTGACCAGACTGCTTATAAGAAGCATTCATGATATCCATATTCTAATGGAATCTCAACACCAAGTAGATGTTTTTCACAGGGTTTACGCAGGCTTACTCATTAAATAAACCGTGAATGTCTAAGTCATTTTCTCGCAATTTTGGACCTGTGCTGTACCATCCCACAACGTGCTCCTTCGCTGGAAAAAAAATTATTTGTCAATTTTTGCATCATAACAGATAATGTGAAAATCTAGGGAAAGAGACATAGTATATACTCATACCATTTATTCTCTTTGCCATGGAATACATGGCTTCATGGTAGTTGTGATCAAGAAACCAGATACTGGGATCCTTGTCATCTTCTTCAAAGGGAACTGTGAATAAAGATCAATACTAATATGAGTCAAAAGTAACGCACTTGATCTAGAAACATAGAAGGTTCTACAGGCAACAAGATGAAAACGCAAAATAAGAAAAAAATTTAAGTCTAACAAAAACACAAAAACTAAACCAGTAAGTTAAATTTAAGACCGCAATCATGAAATTCGAGACTGATACTGCATCAAATTCTTTTGAAAAACCCATAAACAATAAAATCAACATAGTACAAGAAAGTAAGTGCTACAGGCTATAGACTGCATGTGCTACAGACTATCAACTAAAGAACCGAAAATGCAATGGGAAATTAACAAGAAAGTGCATTGATCAGCAAATATATAGCAAGTATGCTGATAAACAAAAACATAGGAACTGCACTGCCGCGTACATAAATCAATTCAAATTGTGTAGGTCTATGCATTTGGAAAGCAAATTAAAGCAGAAATTTCGCAACTTCACACTACAACAACCTCAGCAGCTCTCGAATTAAACTTCGAAATGCCTTATCAAAAGGCATGTCTGGAATGCGACAACCCCTCATAACTAATTTAACTTTCTATATCTCAATTCTGAAATGCAGCCTAAACCAACTGAAATTCATTCAGCAGCACGCAAATGTAACCTAAATTTGCTTAACCACTTCCACGTTCAAGCTCATAGCAGCAGAAACACACTTATTCTTTTGAATAATTTAACAACAATACACCTTTTCACAATGCCATAGAGCCTAAACACAGATTTTCTCACTGACCAAACAAAAATTTACCACAGTTTGGAACATAATTCAGAACAAAAAACTTCCTTAATCAGATAAAATATTCGAATATTCACCCAAAAAAATTTAAATTAATTCAAAATAAATAAAAGCAAACGAGATTCAAACATAGCCGAGAAGCAGAGGGACTAAGCGAGCTTGTTATAAACGAACCGGCGTAGCTGTTGGTGACGTCGACGGTGCCCTTGTACGACGAGCCGAGCAGAACTCCGACGACGCGCTTGCGAGTGTCTTTGGCGACCCTGTTGTAGTTGTCGACGATGCTGAGCAGAACCAGCGGGTGAACTATCACCTTCTCGATCAGCCTCGCGGAGATTTGCTGCGTTTTGACCACATCCATTGCTGGACTTCTTCTGCTTTCTCTGAATTTTCCTGCTTTTTCTGCACTAATATTGAGTTAGCTTCTTCTGCAGGAAACCTCTGTCTTTCTCCCTAATTTATTTGGAAAAAGCTCTTTGCTTGCTCAGCTCTTCTTTCTTCTCTTTCCTTTCGGTTCTCTCACCGGACCTAATAATTTTGGCTCATTTGGATGCGTTTTAAAATGATTAAAAGTGTTTTTTAAAAAAAAAAATTTAGGTTTCAAAAGCATTAGTTATATGTTTCTTCTTCCAATAAGCACTTTAAATGTTTTTTTTAGAATTTACTTGCATTTTTACTAATAATTGGTTCTAAAAATATTTTTACCAAAAACGCTTTCAAGCATTACAAATGCACATACAAACGAGGTCTTTGAATTTGAAATAATTTTATTTGTTTTTGGAGCTTGAGTTGGGCACCAAAGCCATGTTATGAAGATTGAGCCCAAGATTTATGGGTTTTATTATGGGCCAATTACATTTGTTTTTGGGCCTTTTGTAAATTGCTTTTCCTTCTTTTATTTTTTTGGGCTAAGTGATCTAGAATTAAAATCTTAGTATAAACTAAATTTTGACAATACAACGATGAGATATCAACGACATGCTAAAAATCAATTATTTCATCAACCATCGGCTCAAGTTAGATCTTTTCAGCCAAAAACCTTAATTTTTTAAGACGTTATTGTCATGGCCCATGACACTCGTCAAAGTACTCATACATGCTCCTATCACTATCACCCAATGGTAAGGTGAAATTCTTGTGTCCCTGACAATCAGGCTAGGTAAATTGTCCAACTCATTTACAAAGGAATGAAACTTTTGCAATAAAATTTGTACCTGCATGAGGATAGATTCTTGCATCCGGCCGGGCATATGGGGCATAAGGCACATAGAAAGACTATTTGGGTGGGCAAAGGTGAGAAGAATAAACAAGGGGACCCTACGTTTATGAGTATGGCTGTATGGCCTTATTGGTTCGGTCGGCCATATCCATATATATTCCTCTTGCATAAGGTCAAGTGGTACCTAAATATTTAGGGACCGGCTTCTTTGTAAGTATGTCGAACCACCTAGTTTAATTGTCAGACGCAAAGTTCTTCAATGTTATGGATACATAAACATAAGAAGTAAACAAGTTGTAGACACTTCCATACCAACTAACTTCTAGTCTAGTAACACTCCTCTTTTCAATACTAAAATAGGTTTTAAGCTCGAATTTCAATCTCCTCCCGTTAATTCAAACTACGAAGAGAGTAATTCAAACTCGAGTGCATACGAAAGAACACAATCGATTGAACAATGTAGATACGCTCACATCTGCAATGAAAGAGCAGTTTTAGAATATCCAAATGATATTTAAGAATAGTATAAAATGTGATGGATAAGACCAAGGTAAGTGGTTGAGAATTGAGTATTACTTTACTTAGTAAGGATAAATGAGGGCTGTGGGGAAGTGGGGAAGCTCTAAGATTAGTACATGAAATTCAAAGCTGGGAAGCAGACCCAAGGTAAGTAATAGGTATATGTCATATGACCAAGGCCAAGGTTAAGTATTTTATTCACAATTATGCAGCCCAAGGAGACATTTCTCATGTGGAGCAGGAGAAAATTCCAATTTCCAAGCCATTCATACAAACAAGAAATCCGACAGAGTAAATCACAGAGAAATTAATAACAACAAGAAAGTGCACATGCAGAGAAGAATGTCCAAGAATTTCCAATATCTTAATTCAACAACTCAAATTAGCGTCAATACTACGTAAACTATTCAACAACTATCTCTCCCTCCATACCTTTCTGTTCACCCTTTCATGCCAGCTGCTAAACCCCAAATTCTACAAATGGCAACCATGACTACTAGCTAGCTAGGAGCTTCTTTTTTCCGTTCTTTTTCTCATAAATTTGAAGCATGTAATTCAAAGGAAACTTAAACGCAGATCCAAAGGTGGAAGGTCCATTTCTGTCCCAACAGTGTAGGTAAAAGCTGACGCCTCCTTGCAATATTCGTTTGCGTGAAATCTCAGCTTCTCTCCTTCAGATTCGTTGAAAGAGTTTATAGGGAAAAGTTGAAGGGTCTCAATCACTCTCGCCGGCTCCGAAACCTGATTTATTTCTGCAAGGAACGGAAAATAAAACCGTGAAAAAAGAATACAAGCACCATATCAGCAAAGAAATTAAATTCAGGTGCATAGTGCATACTAGAAAACCCCTAAACCGAAGTACTTCAAGAAAGAGAAATTTTAACAGCTATGATTAACGCACGTTTTGGAGACGACATGTTCTCCTGATCTCGACGAATGATATCCTTGTCATCAATAGAAACTTTACGCCGCTTTTGTCTTTCTCTGGCTTTGTGATTCTGAAACCAGTAAAAGACGTTCTTGCTCTCGATCTTGCCATAAAAGCTTAGCTGAGAGGAGATTTTCTGAATCTGATCAGTACTCGGCGTTCGGAGTCCAGACCTGAACAGGTCAGTCAGAACTTTAACCTGTTCTGCAGTTGGATTCCAACGCCCGCACTTGGTTCCACTATTACCATTACCACCATCGCGAAAACTCGATGCTTTGATGCAAAATCCTGACATGCCCTCGTCCATATTTCAGCTTCAAATGGCTAGAAACAAAACCAGTCTGTGCTTCTGCTTCAGGAACTTCCTTTTTCTGAGCTTCTGAACTCAAAACAGTGTGAACCCGTGTGCATATATAATACCCTAAAGTAGACAGTACTTTGGTTTTGTTTTTTTATTATAATTTGTTTGTGTTAGATCTTTGTTTATACATTAGTCTGCGTTGTTTTTAGAGAATTTGAGATTGAATAATTATGCGGATTTGTTCGGTTTTAATTATCTTTGCCCAGTTTTCTGTGTTGAGAAAAAGAGAGGGAAATGCGCGAAAGCTGCCAATGTTCAACATTTGTCGGCGAGCAGACATGATGAAAGTTTTCCCTAAACTATATTTTTTGGTTTTTACTTACGTTGAGTTCATATGCATTATATATTTCCACATATTTTTTTTTTTTTAGCTTTTCAAACACTGTGTTTTTATTTATAGTCGTCGAATTGGATAAGTGAAATAGAATTAACCGTCCATAATTAAGTATGAGTGTAAAAGGTTAAAAAGATGTGTAAAAATTACTTCCCTATGAATTTTAGGGTTCTTTGTGCTTTTCAGTTTTAGATGAGCAAAACCCTTCTAACCATGTTTAGATTAAAAAAAAAACACTACTTCATAGAAGAACACTTATTATATATGTGGTTTTTTGTACTTCAAGGGATTTCTAGAAAATCCTTTGCATTTTTGTTTTAAAAAAAAAAATTAGAGTAGTACTTTATTAAAATGCATTTCCAAACAATTCATAATTAGTATAGTAAGTCCAAGATAACCAGACATGTGAGTAAGGCCAAGCATCATTTTTAATTAGTTGGTGTCTGCTAAAGATCATGTAGAAGAGTGCAATCTCGTGGATTATCTTAATTGGGGTATTAGCAGAAAAACGATCGATGCAAGTGAAGGTCAAAATTACACATTGTCTGATTTGCATTGGACGGTTGTGATCGCAACAGACTGACAAGGATACTGAGTTAGGTTGACCCTAAAGACTGATTACAGCTCAGTCAAATAGAGTGGGGATAATTGATATATAAACCTCCTTTTAATTAAGGATGTGTGGGAACATAAACAAAGCAACAATAAAGCCACCAAAAATTGAAATTTAGGAGGGACGGACAACGCATGACCAGCCAAAACGGGAAAAGAGAAGAGGAGACATATTGGATTTTCTTATGTCATGTGCCTCCTGTCGTAAGCAACTACATCCCCCTTTTTCCTGTCACTTGGTTTGCTTCATCTTTTATCATTTGATTGTATGTTACCCAATTCTGGGAGTGATCAAAAGTGTAGGTGAAGTTTTGTATTTTAGGGTTTGTCCCTACACAGGGATATGTTGGATGAGAAGGTTTGAACGTTAATGGTCATATGCATGATACATACGCCATTAGATTTGCATGCGATTTACTTTTTTGAAAAATGGAACTGATCTATACGTTACACATGCTATACTTTTTTGCGAATGAACATAAGTTTAATTAATAAATGAGTGCACGACAAAGTGCAGATAAAAAAGTAAAAAATAAAAATAAAAATAAAAAACACTAGCTAGAGTAGCTAGAGGAGGGTTTTGGAAAATAGCTATGGGGTTTAGTCGATGAATGCAAATCTTTAATTAACATGAACTAGAAGTGTATGTGGTGAATGTTCATTGGAAGAGAAATGAAGTTCTGATATGGTAGCTAAATTGGGGATTGATTGTGATGCATATATTTAAGTTCTAGTGGAGCCTCTAATATACTTTCTGTATGTATACAGTCTACTAATTTTATCAGATTTCGTACTTTTTTCTTTAGAAGGAGATTCGAACTTGAGATCTATTCTAATGCGTAAAAGAAAAATAAAACTAATCAGGAAGAACGATAAGTTTTGTAATATTTAACCTTATTGATTACTTCAAAACGAGGATAATGGTTTCATGATCCATTTAATTCAGACGTTTGTGACAAAATCCCAAGAAAAGTCTTCGAGCATGGATGGTTTGATTTGATCTCTCAAGATTTTGAATAAGATATAATATGTTTTGGTAATTGCTAGTCAAGATCGAAGAGTAGTGTGGCCAAGTGTGTTGCCCACTTTCAACAATTCCCGATGGTGTTCGCATTCACGAGTAAAATATTTGTTTGTTTGCACTTGGCACAATAGTTTGCTGACTGCTGTCTGTGAATGTCGTCTTCTATCTAACCCCTAGGACTCTTAATAATTAGTACTAAACTAAGAAATAATCTTGTTAATTAGTGAACAGGCTATGCATGTCAGGATACTAAATTTGGAGAGATCATGGATTTAATTAATTTGTTTAATCGTGGTAATACAGCACTAGGATTTTTGCTGGGTTGGCATAAGCACTAGGGTTTGCATTTTCCTGGGTAAGTGCCAACCCACGATCATCGTCATCTTGAACATGTCTCCTTTGGAAGCAACTTTTGCCCCTCTTTCTGCTTATGCAGATGAATAATATTTGTTAGAACTGAGCTCGTAAACTAATGGATAGAGAAGTTCAAATCTCTTTTAAACATAGACTTCCATTCTTCTAAATATTGGCTCTTTGATAGTTTCTTAAATTTCCGATGTCAAACAATACTCTACATTTTGCATAAAATATAACATAGGCTTGGTTTTAACTATGACACATGTACTCTTCATAAAACCTGACTTTACTATATGAACTCTGTTTTGTTTCACTTTACCCAATGTACTTATACTTTGAGTCTCACTTTACCTTATTCCGTTAACTTCGTCACATAAACCGTTAACTTGCTGACTTGCAGTGTCTTTAATGTGATCTTGGTTAAAAGAAAATTATAAAATAGATTAAAATGTGACAAGTTAACGGTTTATATGACGGAGTTTAACAAAATAAGGTAAAGTGAGGCACAGTATAAATACATGGAGTGATAGAGTAAAAGGAGTAAAGTGAGATTTTTTTTTATCATAGCTAAAAATAAGCCCCAAGTATATTCACTCACGTGAGGCATTTTTGTATCTAACATGTAGACAATTTTTAACAAATGAAATGACGTGTGACTTAAATGCGAATATCTAACCCAAAATCATATAGCAAGTTAGCAATGGGTGGAAGGGCTTAAAACATTTTAAGCTCATATATTTTCTTTGATCTTTGTATGTGACATTCTCTCAACAAAATTAGGGTTTACGAACTTTATTATCTTAAGGAACGCATGCTTCTCGATCAAAGCATTTTACTACCTACATTTGACTGAAAATCCCAACTTCCAAATTAGAACCAAAACATTTGAAACCAAGCCAGTACTATTAAACATAAAGAGAGTAAGTTGGAAGAGTGAGATTGGTAAAAGTGCCACGCTGTCCTGTATGTGTGTCTTTTGTAATTGTCTATCTATCTTAATCTAATCCAATAGATAATTAGAGCAATGATCTCTGAATTTTATCTCAATCAGAACTTTGATCTCTGAACTAAAAATTTGTGAGCATGGGTCTCTGAACTTGCTAAGATATGGAATAAAGGGTTTAAAGGGACAAAAAATGGATGGAAGTTCTAAAGAAGCTGGCCAAAATCATCTTTGCTCCACATTAAAACAAGTGCAGAAACCAATACTCACGGATTTTTTATTCAAGAACCAAAGATCCAATTGAGCTAAAATTCAAAAACCATCTCTATCTAATATAACTACAAAGCTATAAACCCTAAGTATAAACCTTTTGTTATAATATTTGTGGAAAAGAGTCGGGTAAAGATTTGCGTTATGGTGAATGTGTAAAACGTGAGATTCAAGAAGTCATAAGCTAGAATTAGGGCACGCGTGAAATCCAGGCCGCCCCATAAACATCTTGCCTTGTTTTCTACTTTCCTGTCTTCCATTGCTGCTGCTGCTGCAGTGGAAGCTTCACCGCCATCATCAAGACAAAAAGGCCAAAAGCCACCCCCACTCAGATCAAACATTCCTTATTTTATAATTAAGAGAAGAGAATATGAATTTGGGGGAAAAAGATCCAATCATATGTACTGGTTGTTTGCTGCCTGGCATCTAATTAGTGGCCAAACTCATTAGATTATTAGGTGTCCTGTTAACCCAGACCCGCTAAATTAATTTTGGTTTTATTAATTATGATCCGTGTTAACCCACTAACTTAATTTTGGTTGTTATTAATTATTGTTCATGCGTATGCACAATTGGTGAATTGCTCTGGCGCTCTCTTCAATCCATTGTGTCACGAGTTCAAATTCAGAGTGTAAATAACTATCGAATGTATTCAAAAGGAAAAAATTTCATGTACATGCACTTAATGTGATTTCTGATAATAACGTGTGATATTCTACCCGCTTCATATTCAAATTAACAGATTCATTAGGCGACTCATTGTGTACAAAGCGGATATTTATGGACAAGGGAAGTACAACGTAGGACTCTCAATCTTATCAGAAATAAATGCTCTTAACTAGTGAGGCACATACCCAACCAACAAATGCAACAGGGCGGGGACGGGGGCTAAGCCATCTGCATAGGAGAGTTGTGTAAAGGTAGGTTAGGACATTTTTGTAAGTTGGAGTGGGCTAGAGGCTAGGTCCGTTCTTGTACCAAGTTGACTTACCTGCTCCTTCCTCGTTGGGAAACTATTACGGAAGGCTGTAAATTACCAACGAGAAGAGTAGCGTTTACAGGGCTGGGCATACCGGCATACTATAAAACGAAGACAAACCATGCCCCAAGTCAGCAATGGCTTCGTCAAGAAAGGTCACCTCTCGAAAAACATTGCGAAAAACAAAATGATCTCAAGTCTCCTGGATTTACCAGCAAAGGAGAAGAAATTTACAGAGTGTTGAATATTAGACATTAGCCCGTCAAGAAAGTAGGGGCGTAGGGATGAAAAACCAAGTCAAGCAGGAGTATCAAGTCAGTTTTGAGAATTAGGGAACAACCTATTCTGAATTTGGTAAAATAAACTACAAAGTCGAAGCTTCAAACAACGGTACAGAAACAGGATACGAACCATAAAATTAGCTCCAAAATTGATCATGTTTCTAGCCAACCATTAAAGCAGTATTGAAAAGATTGAACAATCCTACCTATACTTTCAATGGAAATAAAAATATTACACCCTTCTCTGCAAACAAGGACCCCGTTCTCACAGTTGGTCATATATCCTTTGACAGATTACTTTCAAAAGTAGAATCTCATGACATAGGTACTGTAAGCGAAGGCATTACAGAACCTGAGCAGCCGTGTTCAATTTTTCGGCTAAGGTGAGCTGTGTCCTTGTGATGCTTGACAAGTACAGTAAGAGCAAGTTGTCCTGTAAGCAACAAACAAAAGGACAAGTTTAATGTCAAAGAACGCTCGCCAAACTTATAACCCTAGTATTGAAGAACTATTTTGCATCATTACCCTACAACTGACAACAGGAAGCTGTGAACGACATTGATAATAGATAACTAAAGTAACTGAATTTTTTTGAACTGTATCTTTCATGATACAACAAAATGAACCAAAATATATCGCACCTGCAGGCTGTCATTGATAAGCTTATCAAAAGCTGATGGAGACAGTTTTGGAAGAGATGCGATCGTATCGAAAAGAAATCTCCCTATAGTGTTATCTTGTTCAACACGGCCTTCCTGAAAACATGATACCTCATTAGAATTAAGTAAAATAAATGGAAAGACCAACTTAAGAAGGTTAAGTATCGTTACTAACCACAACATTGTCAACATATTTGTAAACATCATCAATTAAAGCTAGAAGCCGCTCCATTGAGGCTTCCATTCCTTCAAGATCAGTTGGGAGTTTGTCAACCATTGGGGTCTTTAAAATATCATCTGTCATCGTGGAAAAGCATATGATTTTGAATCAGATCTGCATCGTGCTTAAAAGCTCAAACAATCATATCCAAAATTAGCAGGAAGCAATGAGTTCAACCAATTGATGTGAAAAGCACATATAGCACATATAACTAGTTCCTTCAACCGATTGTAACTCTCAGAATTACTAGTTCCTTCGAGTTTCCTCCAAAACTTAGCGTAAAAGTCACTTCTGTTTCCATCAAGTCAGAAAACTATACAGGGAAGATCAAGTGAATGTGTTGGGTGTGCGAACACCAATATGACCACATGATGCTACAAACAGTAAAAGTTTAGAGGGATAAACTTACATCCAACTCGCTCAGCTTCAACCATGCGAAGATCAAGAGGAATTTCTTGAAACTGCGCAGCAAGTTGCCGATCTCCAAGAGACAAATTCACCGAAACATAAGCTTTTATGGTACCCGCTCCATTAACAAATCCAGTATCAACAGTCAAATGAACCGGGTTGGGAGCTTCTCTAGAATAGAATTCATGAAACAATGCACTACCACCAGTAACTCCAAGACCAGTTGAATACCTACAAGTAATGATCAAGGCACAACAATAAGCATTCCAATCAACTTGAAAACTTACAAATCTCTATTACATATGTTTAAAATAAACTAGCATGAACTTTTAGAAATTTGCGAAACTATCATTGGGGAGCATTGAGCTCGCGCTCTCACGTGTACCATGACAAACGAGGATGTTCCCTATTCCATTTATGAATTCGCATTTTTGGCTCTAGTTACAGGTTCCGCACCGAATTAAAACATAATTTACACAGAAGAAGCAACATTTCACCGGAATGAATATCATTATGAAACACGAAACTATTCGAATTCGTCAATTAAAAATGCCTGAAAAGTTGCACGATAATAACTAAGAAATCTAAAGTAGAAAAGATAGTGACATTTACCATCCAACAATGACTTCCTTGGGATTCACCTTCTGGTGGGATATCAACATATTGTGATGGTACTCAATATCTAAAGCAACCTGGAAATTACACACCGAAACAAAACGTCACTAAAATTCTAACACAGGATCACAATTTCATGGTGTTTAAGAAATTAACCACAATTTTCTCATCAACCAAACAGGGGGAAAACCCAAATCACTAAATAATAATAAAATTAAAGAAACAAATGAGGAAGAAGAACCTGCTCGGCGCTCACATGAGGAACAGCGTAGGAGTTTCTGATGTCGACAGTTCCGTCAGGCAGGACGGAGCCGAGGAGCGTGCCGATGACGCGCTCCGACTGGTCGGGACGCCTGACGTAGCAATCGCAGATGTTAAAGATGACGAGAGGATGAACCTTCGCCGACAAGCTCGACGACGGAGACGTCGAGAACTGCAACACGGTGTGCTCGATCGCCGCCATTCTCTCTCACCGCCGATGGATCTGGATTTTGTTTAGGGCTATAAGAGAGTGCAAGCGAGAAAGAGCGCGGAGGATGGAGCGAGCACTAGGGTTTTGGGGGATAGTGAGAGAAGAGAGTATTGGATTTCACTTGTTTTTATTTTATTTTAGGCCTTTCATCATTAAGATGCCCAATTGTCTAATGGGCCTATCTTGGCCCAAATAGGCTTCAAGAATAAGAGTTGGCAAAATCAGAGTCGGATTATCTTCCCTCCAAATTCCCTCCTCCCCCCTCCTCTCTTATTTTCCTATTTTTCTTTCTCTTTCTACAAAGAAGTCAACACAAAATTTTGACGTGCCTTAATTGTGGCCATTCAAATATGAGGAAACCAGAGAGAAGGAGAATTTGGAGAAGAAAAAATTCTACTCCGGCAAAATCTAGGACAAGGGACTTGAAGCCATTTCAATCTTTAAATAAACTTCCTTAAAAATAACATATTATTGGATTAAATATGATTGCAAACTTCATTTAAGGTATGTTAGAGGGAAACAGTGGAGCTAACTTTCACATTTTGGCCAATTGATGGTAGAGATGCACTATTTATGAAGAAAACTAATCACTTCTCAATCTTGGTCATGAACGAATAAAACTTAGCATATTGGGAGACTAAAAAGAGACATGTTTTATTTCCGAACAGATAATCTATTTCTTTCAACTCTGATATATTTTGAAAGTTAATGTTTATTTCTTACCTCAACATACCTCGAAAATAGCAAATTATTAAATTCAATCATAGGCATCAAACCTAGTATCTTCTAAAAGCAAGTTCACCCATCATTGAGCCACTTAGTACTATAGTTTAATGGTATTTCTCTTCACATGTAAATGAGAGATTTTAAGTTTGATTCTCGCCGAATATGAATTTGAACCACATTATTGCTAACTCATTGTAAGTTTTAATCCACTATTCTACTCCTTTAATGTAGATAATACCTTTTGTTAAAAAAAAATTAAAATTTTTTTAAAAAGTCCACCCATCCTTGGATGGCAAGGGTAAGGTCGTAAAAAACAAAGGAAAAGGATCCGGATCAGGACCGTCCATCGAACATTGTGCGGGTTATAAATTATTTTAAAATTTAAAATTAAATGTAAATAATACTTAACGAAAACTGATCGTATATACGATGAACGATCGCGATCACGGAATTCCTATAATCCCCATAAAAAGAATCAAGTGAGGATCATTTTCCAAAAACAAGGGTCCAAAATGAAGAAGGTAATCATCTCCACCAAGCCTGTCGGACTGCCCAGCCAACAAATGCTAATTATTGCAGGAGGGATAGTGAAGTCGGATGTAGCGCACGGAGCAAACATTACGCGCATGCTAGTGCTATATTCGGCGGAGCAGGCTGTCATGTCTTGATAGGTACAAGGAGGGCCACGACATGATTTGATCAAGTATGAATGCTACCATTGCTGATATGAATTTAATTAAGCTTCCTGATGAGCTTTGGAAACGGTATCCATCAGTCTGACTCTAAAATCAGAACCACGACGGTTCCTTAAATTATAGAGCGGTTTAACAAAATATTTTTGAAACTGTTTATTTTTAACGAAAAATTATATTTATATTTTTTTTTGATATTATTTACTATACATTTAAAAAGAGTTTTTCATTAAAAGGAAATTTTTTTTTTTAACTTTTCGTTAGTTTTCTTTAATTATATGAGAGGTTTACTTGGAATGGGAAAGTTTATGAACCGGATTATGAGAAAAGTCGGGACCAAGAGACAAAACAAATAGGATTGAGAATATAACGATACTAGAGAGATCAAAATTTCAATATATTTTTTAAAAAGTAATTTTACTATCAATCGTCACATCATGTAATTTACAAAAAATAGAATAACTACTCTTTAGTCAATCGAATTCATGGTTGTTAATAAATGTATGGTAAATCAAGAATCACAATAATTTGAATACTCTGTGTAAGAAAAATGAAATCCGAATCATATTTATTCTAATCCTCAATGTAAGTAAAACGTGTCATTAGTATGTATGATGTCGGTATATGAGCATCTACAACACCACTAATTATACATTTGTTATTTTAGCATGAAAATAATTCAAAATCTATTAATAGCCCCAGTTTAAGCATAACCATCTCCAACGCAATTAGGCCCGAATTCAACCTTGTGCCTTTGAAAATTTTTGGAAGGGTAAACTCTTTGAAGTAAGCCTTAGTACACAACCACCACAGGGTGGCTCAAGTGACGAATTTTCAGGTCCGTATTCGCACAACACGTCTTGAATTCGATTTCTGACACTAGTGAATCACACGATGGTAATCAAGTGGAGGCTGATATATTTCTGCGAGTCTTCCCGGGCCACGAAAGAGTGGATTGTCGTGATGAACCTACTAACTGGTCCTTTTTTAAAAACAAAACAAATATTACATATTTTATTGTCGGAAGTTGCAATAATTATTGATTTTTTTGTTTGTAGGTTATATATTGATTCCTATAAATAATAAAAATGTTATTTATCATTGATAGTTATTAAGTTCCTATAATAAGAAAAGTCATATATTATCATATATTTTTCATTGTGCGTTAATTTCTCCATATATATGCATATTACGTACATATGCATGTTTATATACTATAGTTACATACCAATACATTTGTATGGACATATTTATACCGATACATTCGTACCGAAAGTTATGTACCGATATATTCTTACCGAAACTTACAAACCGATACTTCTGTACTTATGAGTAATATAAGGTACCTAAAGTTATGTACCGATACTTCTGTACGTATGATAAAATAATATACCGAATGTTATGTATAAATTGATTTTGTTTTGTTGTTGAATTTTTTTAATAATGAGAATTTGAATTTTGAATAATTTTTTATCTATTAATATGATTAGAGCACAAAATAAAAAACATAATTATGGATGGGTAAAGAATTTCGAATGGTAGGTTCATAAATTATAAATGTGCTATAATTACTTAAATATGGTAAGCTTTAAAAATAGGGAGTTATATTATATTTTGAAAACCATTCAGGTTAAAATATAAAAACAATCTTATTGAAACCCTAAAATCTAAAAACCCTTTTATTATTAACAACTCAATCTTTTTTATTATTTTGTTATTTAACTATCAACCACTACTCTCACCAAAAGTTTTGATATATTTCAAGTTGATCTTTCTGTTAAATTCTCTTTATACTTGGTTAAATATAAAATTTGGAGAGTTTTCAAATGGGAATTGTTTTTTGCACTCAAAAAATCTTATTTTACACTCCAAACTTTCTATAATTAGAAAGAAAAATACACTTATGATGAGTGTAGAATGAGATTTTAAAAGTGCTAATAACAGTTCACTTTTCAAATAAATTGAGGTTTCCTCTCTCTCTTTTCTCAAAAATAAAAGAATAAAAAAACTTTGTGGGCATGTCTTTAAATGATATTAGGCCAGTGGTCCTAATCGTATCGACTAATAATTATATTTTTAAATAAATCACTTTAGGTCTAGTTTGGTTTAAAGGATTGGATAAGATCGGATTAAATTATCTATGATGTTTAAGGTATATTGAAAGAAGGGATTACAAAATTGTGTATAACTTACAAGTGGTCGATGAATTATTTTATTAAAAAAAACTTATCTACTGCAAGTCCCCGGTATGGGATGATTTTAAACGATATTTTTATTTTCGCGTCAAATCATTTTGAGCATCTCAAAGGCTTCTACTTTCGTTTTATACCTTAAATTTTAGCCGACTATTGATAATGATTCAGACACGCATCGGCATCTCAGATTCAACTACTAAATTGCTAATGAAATGACATATGGTTTTGTTTATGCGTCTAATGAATTATTAAACATGTAATTAAGCTCAATTAAGAAGAAGTCACCACATCATCGTTGGCTTGGTGGCTACTTGCTACCTAACTTCAACAACTCCTTTCTCTCTCCAATAATTTATTTAAGACTTAATTAGATAAATAGTTTTGTGGTGATAAAAAATAAAAAAAAATTATGATTTAACCCCTTGTGATAAAGTATGTTAGAATTTATACTCAAAATTAAAATTTTCGTTAACTTTATGTTAATTATTAGCATGTGAGCCAGTCTCACGTGTTAACAATTAACGGAAAGGTTCATTTTAGCCTATTATGTGTATAAAGAGTTTCATTCTAACATAATATGTACAACTCACATGCTAATAATTAACAACAAATTGACTAAATTTTCGATTTTAGATATAAATCCTAACACACTTTATCACAAAAGATTAAATCTTCGTTTTTCACCACAAAAACTGTCTTTCAGCTACCCTAACACTACGATAACTATTAATCAAATTAGGCCTTTATTTAATTCCCACGTAAATGGCGACGCGGAATAAAGGTGGGTGTAATTTCTGAAATTGAAAAATAGAGATATTTATTGGTTTACCCATGAACTTGTAAGAAGATGTAATTTTTTTTTTTAATTTTAATTTTAACCGATTAGTTCTTTAAACTATTTAAATTAGTCAATTTTCCTTGAACTTTAGTCTTAGCCATTTACCCGAACTTTGACAAATAAACAATTTCCCCTTTGGTGTTATTTCATTCAAGAAATAATCGGCTAAAATTAAAGTTGAAAGAAAAATTAATTATTTATAAAAGTTAAAAAAGTAATCAATTAAAATTAAAATTAAAAAAAAAAGCTAATAATAAAAATTCAGAAGTTAATCAACTAAAATTAAAATTCAAAAACCAATGCCAAATATGCCTTGGAAAAATTCACAGCCACTTGATGCAAATCAAATGAGCACTCACCATCAGATGATTCAGATGGATGGGATTGGTGGGGCCTCTCCCTAAAAAAGAAAGGATCAGAGGGCCCTTTAGTCTTCAGAGTTGAAACGCATCCATCAACACACATGTTTTTGCTTGCTCATATCACGATTAATTAACAGCTTAATAACTTAATTACGTACAAAATACCCTTAAAACAAAAGCATTACATCTGAGAAAATAACACAAACTCGATTGAAGATTGGCTTGAAAGATGATCATAAAAACGATTTGAGACGTAATTAACGGTAATCACTTGGACTTGAAAGGGATGGCTCTGATCACAACCACGTGGTAAAAAGCTGCAAGTGCTGCCCCAACGAACGGTCCAACCCAGAATATCCACTGCCACAACGAAAAAAAAAATAGAAACTAAAAGTTAGAACAAAAATTCAGAATCCATTGAATGCGCTTTTGAAATTGGAATACAACAACGGATTTTGGAAAGTGCTCCCCACAAAAGCACTTTCATTTAAGAACAGAAGTGCGTCTTGTAAAAGCAGTTTTGGATCAACTAGGAAGACTTACGTGGTCATCCCAGGCATGCTGCTTGTTGTAGATGATGGCAGCGCCAAGGCTCCTTGCTGGGTTGATGCCAGTTCCGGTGACGGGGATGGTAGCCAAGTGCACCAAGAACACGGCGAACCCAATTGGCAACGGAGCCAAAATCTGATCAAAACCCATTCAAAATTCGCAGCCAGTTAATCACCAAACCAATTTAAACGCCAACAAAATAATAAAATCAGGAAGTTCAAGCTCAGCTAGGTAAATGATCGGAGACTAGACATGCGTACCGGAACGTGGGAGTCTCTGGCGCTACGCTTAGCGTCAGTGGCGGAGAAAACAGTGTAGACGAGGACAAAGGTGCCGATGATCTCAGCACCAAGTCCTTGACCCTTGGTGTAACCATGGGCAACAGAGTTGGCACCACCGCCCAGCATCTCGAAGGTGGAGCTCTTCTCGAAGCCCTTCACGACAGCGGCACCGGCGATAGCTCCGAGGGTCTGCATAACTATGTAGAACAGCGCCCTGGTCAGCGACAGCTTCCTGGCCAAAAACAGCCCAAAAGTCACCGCCGGGTTTATGTGACCACCTGAGATATAAACAATAAGATCACCACCGTTAATCAAGATTTATTTATAATTAAGAATGGATTAATGACACGGCTGCGTTTTTTGGGGGGGAAATTAATTACCGGAGATGCCGGCGGTGCTGTAGACGAGGGCGAAGATGGTCCCGCCAAAAGCCCAAGCGATTCCTTGAATCCCGACCGTCGTGCACTTCGACTTCGACTTGACAACGCCCATCACCGTCAAGATTGTGATGTAGAGGAACAGGAAAGTGGCGATGAACTCGGCGATCCCGGCCCTGTAGAACGACCATGACGTCAGCTCGCCGGGCTCGAATAGTGGAGCAGGCGGCGGTTCCTTGTAGTCCTTCCCTTCGTCCTGGCTCTGAGCCGAGGTCCCGATCGGCTGCCTCTCCGAGTACTTGTTCGCTCCCAGCCTAACATCCTCTTCCTTGCCCTCCATTTTCGCTTTACTTACAAGATCAGACCAAGCAGATATCGAGCTCCCGGTGACTGATGACCGTTGGATCTTTGAGATCTGAGAGTGTGAGGAATGGTTGTGTTATGAGTGGATTTACGGAGTGGGACTTATATATAGCACAGCGAGCGCCTGAGTTTTGGAAGCTGGTGAAGTGAGGGAGGGTGGTGGCGGGACCCAACGGCTCTATTAATTTTGATTTTATTTAACTTATTTATTTTTATTATCATGTGAGCGACGAATGATTTTTACAAGTCGTGGTAATTTTTTGCACAGACTTGTTAATTTGATATAAAACAACATAATAATAGTAGATAGTCAATTAATTTGTCATCGAGTCGGATTATTACCGAGTCACATGTTAACAATTTGTTAACAAGTCATTTTGTTATCAAATTAATTGTTAAGAACATAATAAGATAATATGTATAACATGCAAAACGACCCCGTTGTTAGGTCTAGACATTAGCATGACAATTTTTTCATGACACGTTAAACCAATACAAAACAATATGACTTGTTAAGTAATCAGGTTGTTATCATGTCGGCAGTTAACAACTGTTAAGATAATAAATTTGATACGATATAATTTGTTAAAATAACGAGTATAGCACGAAAATAATACAAACTTAACAAATACGATTCGTTTGTAAAGTCTAATTTTCCGGACATTTCACGAAAAGTGACGTGTAAATACGTTAAAGAAAATTAGGTAGTTACTTTCCACGTGGCGCGATTGTGTTCGCAAATTCTCTGAGGTACTGCACCGTCCAATCACATCATCTACAGTTAAATAGTGCTTCAGACTGCGTATTTCAATTGATGAGATGAGACAGAACAACGGGTCTATCATTTGAATTTTGGTTTGGTTGACAAATTGTTGCGCCTAACTGTTATTAATGCGTGGGCACGGTTTGGATTGAATCCGTTTGTTTCTTAGTACGCAATCAAATTAATTGGCGGTGAAGTTATGCAGTGCAATTTGTTTTAGTTATAACTAAATTAAGAGGATATAATAATCAAATAACGATTGTGTCATTTAATCGATTCGAATTATATATAGGTCGCGCTTCATCAAAGCAAATTACTTATAATTTGGTTCGGTTCGTTTAAAATTGAATCAGACGCATGAAATTGGTTTGATTCGACTAATTTTGTACCTACTCTTTAAGTAAGTTATCCATGAATGGAAAAGTAACTCTTAATTGTTTATTGGGTTATTATCTCAAGCAAAATTCAACATCTACTATCGTCTATAGTTAAGTTCATACGATAATGTTTGGATCGTGCTTTTAATTAATCAATTTTTATGCTAACTGCTAGGTGGCAGCAGGTAAAGAAGCCTTCAATCATTTATCATCTGACGTGTTTGATTCTCTCCATCCATTTAATTATGTTATTTTTGTTATATACAAATAATATGAGACCAACCCATGATTAATTTTTGAACAAGGATTGTCTGCCCTTTTACTTTTAGTGTTCTCTTATTTGTGTGGTCACGGTTAAACTATGTCAACATTTTATATTACTATTTATTTTTATGTTATTATCTCTATAAAAATAAAAAATAGAAGGACATCGTAAATGAGGGGGCAGACAATCCTTGTCCTTAATTTTTTCTTACTTCTGCAAGGCTGCAAACACTCATAGGACATGGGGAAAAGATTCTCTTCATTTCTTTCCCTTCAAAGTCTAAGGATTAAGTGATCTGCACTTTTAAAATTTGATCAAATAGTTAAAAATATAAAAGTTAGTAAAATTTTTTAAAAGTTATAATAATTTTTAACCATTTAATCAAATTTCAAATATTCGAATCAATTAATCCTTAGAATTTAGAAAAAGAAATCTAAAGAGAATCTCTTTCCCAGGTATGAACTGCTGTGTACAATGACAAGTCCTCCTTTTGCTTTAAACAACAAATTATCAAGGCTGTAATGGAATCGTGGAATTAAATATGCTATAAAAATTATGGTACCGCACCAATGTCATAATATGTGGCCTCGCATTTTTGCAATGACTTATATGGTTGTTGTGTTGATTTGTTGTGTCTATCGTGTTTTTATTACAAATTTATACTTGTGATGTTTTGTAGGGTAGGACAGTGCTTGTGGTAGCCATATAGGGTTTACTATTGTTTGTTTCATTGCGCAAATTTACTTCAGATCAATTTTTTAGTCACTATAACTAATGTACCCGATTGACAACCTTTGTCATTATTTGTGAAGTTCAATAAAATATTATTTTATCGCTTCTTGTAAAAAAGAAATGCTAAAAAAATCAATGCCAATGCATTAGTAATGGAACCTCATAGTTTAGTTTTGTAGTAATCGCAATGACGTTTTTGGATAATGAAAAATAATGTTGCATGTCGTTGTTATATTTAATCATCTGCCATTCTTTATGGGATAATGTTTCCCCCATTTTGTTGTGCCAGAATTTATAGGTTATATATATAGAATTTGGAGGCATCACATGGGGTGGAGCTTCGATGACCTGGCTGACGGCCCGTCATTTTAACGTTTCAAACTCGAATACATTTTGAGTTTGAACAAATTAAATAATCGTAAATATATATGATTGTATACGATTAATGATAAAAAAGCAGAATTCGAAATCGAAAAAACTACAGTAGAAAGAGGATGTCGTTTGGACCACATGTGCACCATGGTAGTTGCTTGTCAGCTTCACAAGTGGACTCTCAAATTAGTACTGGAACATTTTTTTTTTTTTGCCAAAGGAAAAGTAAGACATACTTTTTCTTAAAGCTCTTAAAGCGTATGGCTTAAAAAAATTATCTTAATTAACATGCTATGTTTTTTTGTTGTTGGCGATGGGATGCTGTATATCATAGCTTGAATTGCATCGCGTAAGGTGTCGCGTGGGAGATAAAGCTATGCAATGTTGCGTTATTTAGTGATTTTGTGTAAATTATTTGAGACTTCCACAGCGGAAAATAATAATAAACACACACACACACACAAGACTTTACTCATTATAATCATCACTATGCAAAATTATCATGACTGTCTCTACCACGTCTTTCACTTTCCTTCTTCAATTTGTTGCAAAGTATCATTAGTTGTATAGTCATTTTCAGTGAATGGATAACTGTGGTGATTGATGTCAGCTAAAGGAACATCAAACAAATTTCGTGTGGGGTATGCCAATATCGCGTAAAAATTGATCATTTTTAGACTATCGTGGTACTTTGCGTTAAATCGCAAAATCTCTTCCGCGTTACATTGCAGTATCATGGGTTTTTTTCTTCAGACTATGCTCTAAACTACTTCATTTCACGAGAATTGGTTAATTAATCTAATTCATATTTGATGTGAAATTACTATATTGTCATGCTTAACCTCGCTACGTAGTTGTAAAAAAATTGATATATCTATCTTCAAATGTAGACTATGTAGGATGGATAACAATGACACAAGAGACAATTATTCTTTAATCAGAAACATAAATAATATAATAAAATGGCTCAAATCTTTTAACACATGGTGACAAATTGCTTATTACATATTTTGATTCTTAATCGTGATTAGGTAGCTGCAGCCGCCCGTTGGATTAGGGCCACTACTTTGCTTCTTGCTGATTTGGCAGCACATGGTGTTTTCTGGAGTAAGCTTGACCAGCTACTCCATGCAAACAAATGAATACAAACGACATTAGAGAAAGAAGAGCCAAACACAGAACTTAAGGTCAGTGGCGAAGATAGAAAATCAGATTAGAATGATCGTTAGGCTATAGAAAGAAATTAGTCTTTGAAGTATAATTTTTTTTTTTTTTTTTTTGGTATTGATATGGAAAATTTTGATCAAACAAGAATGGTGGAGCTTTAAATTTTGTATGAAAAATTTAGTATTGAAATGATTAGATCGTAAGAACAAAACTTGTTTACGGGCGTTGATAAAAAAAAAAAAAACACATTCGAACAAAAATTTAAGATGATGACTTTAAAATTTGATATTGCCCTAGACTGTATACGCCTTTATTTTATATCGACGAGCAAAAAAGAAGACTTAGTTTTAATATGGTAAAAAAAAAAAGCAAATTATAAGGGGTTTTTTTTCCTTTCAATTTAAAAAACAAAGTTTTAACGAAAAATCCACGGTACTGTTCACTTTAACGAAAATCATATTTTTACACTAAAAAGTCAATCATTATACTATTCACTTTACCTTTTATTTTATCATTATCATTAAAACTCAAAGTTTTCAAACCATTTTCATTAATATTCCTTTTAAAAAAATCTAAAAAGTGTTGGAAGATTAGAGAGTCCCGAGTCTAGTTGGAGTTGCAAAACCCCACTAACCAAAAAACCACATGCTTATTTTTGTAAAAGCGTGTAGAGAGTACATACAAAGAGGCGTTGATGTATTGATTAACGCTCATAGCTAATCGAGTGATGTTGAAAATTTTCTGAGAATTCACCTGTGATAATATCTTAAATCAATAATAAATATCTTGTAAAAAAAGTTAAACACGCAATAATATTCAATTGATTATGATCATAATATCTGCTTTAGATAAAAATATAATAATTATAAAACTGCTGCAACTAAAATAGTCAGATGTTCTATCATATTCACATCATGACAGAAAAGATGGAAACAAGTGATTGGGTAATTAGCATCCATCGGTCCTAATCACAAAGTAAGGATAGTTTATTAAATTAACAGAGTCCGACGGAGTGCAAATAATTTATTAAATCCTCTTCCCACACAACCAGTTTTCTCAGCAGGCCAGGCTTCCACCATGAATAGAAGGAGGTAGATTGTCTGGCCTCTTGTTACCGTGCTCTTTTTATCTTCTTTTATTTGTGTTGTCACGGTTAAACCACGTCAATATTTTATATTTTTATTATTTTTTGTCTTATTATCTCTATTAAAAAATCAATATAAAATATCGACGTGGCTTAATCCTGACCGTAAAAATAGGAAGAGACAAGAAGAGCACGGTAACAGGAGGGCAGACAATTTGCCTCCGAAGTAGAATACAGTAGTGTAGGAGTTATCAAGCAACAAAACCCACTATGCGACTCAAAAAGATATATAAAAAGAAAAGATTACT